GAAAACAAAACAAGCAAAAGAAATGTACAGACATTTTAAATAGATGTTAATTGAAAGCCACAGCTACAAACTGCTTGTTCCAAACTTCTTTTCCACTTTGTAGAGAACTTTTGCAATTGAGCAACCACCTGACTTTACTGTTATCTTCATGGCATTTAAGGGCTTCTTCAAAGAGTTCAATACACAACATGAGCTTAAAGCCTTTTTTTCCATGATTCAAAGATGAAATGGCTTTATTGAAATGTGCACAATACAGCGCAAGATTGGTAAAGAAAATGTTAAGTCCCAGGATCTGCACTGAAAAAATGAAACGTTGACTTCAATAAAATGTATTATGTCACCAGATTACACATAACTGTATTAGGTTAGTTGAAAGCAATTATATTAAGGTGAACTTTCAAAATCTTTTACTTGAACTTAATATGATTGCTTTCAACTAACCTAATACAATTACGTGTAATCTGTTAATGAAATACATACAATTCAAGTCAACGTTTACATTTATTCAGTGTTTAACAATTACAAATAATAGGTTTATGGTGGAAAAATTAGTAAAGACATAAAATAGTGCAACAAAATAGAGAAAAAGTTAAACATAATCAATAAAATGAAGCAATACAAATGCATAGTTGAAGAGGAACTTGAGAAACAGAAGTAATCGACTACACATATTGGTTTTGAATAATTTTCCCAAGAGAACAATGGCTCCCTGATACTTCTCTCAACAATGTGAAGAGGATGAAATACAGAAAACCAACAGATATTTATTGTTGTGAAACACAGTCACATTGTTCCTGTCTCTAGACATTACATCACTGGGCTGGTCACACGACAACATGTGGTTTGTTATTTACAATGAGCAGAGAGGGATCGGCACATTATTATCAGCAACAAGTACTGTCTAATTGATTTCATAAATAAAAATACAATAATCTATGAACAAAGTAAATGTGCAGGTGCTATTCCAAATCTTATTATATATATGCACTTGTTTGAGTGGTTTATGTAAAGGCATTTAAATGTTCACACAAGGATGGTACTGTGGGAGATTTTGTTTAATGTTTTATGATGCCTGCAATATTTCTTGAAGAAAGAACGTTCATGACAGGAAAACCAAATAGCTTTGCATCAATGGTTTTCATTTTGATACTTTTGGACCCTAAATGATTGAATGAGTGATTTTATTTTCACCATCCCATTTGATGGCAGAGATCCCTCGTAAATTGAAGGAAGTTGAAACGTATAACTTTTCTAAACCTTTAACAATATCCTTTTAGACATGCTGAATGTAGCATTTGATCCCACGGAGACAAGGGTAAAAAGGTTTCTGGTTTGGGACTGTTTGAACCCGAACACGCGTGAAGTGATTTATGCCCTCCTATTAACCAGACGCTGGTTTATGGACTCCCAGTCGGGGCTGGAAAAAGCAGCACCATGCAGTGAAGTCACCGAATCACGAGAGAGACTTTGGGATGGATGCAAGAAGCGAAGTGGGAGAGGAGTTTGGACCCTGTGTGAACCACTGAATTGAAAAAGAAAGATGACATACTGCCTTATTTATCCATATGTTGCAAATTATGCCATCTGTTTACAATTTATTTTATTTACTTTGGTGATGCTTGGCCCGGGTTGATTAACATTTGTTGTCTTGTGGAGCTGGGTTTGATTGGCACTCGGTGACGACTGTTTGAAGTGAGCGTAGCGCCGCCTTTGAAGCTCGGGGGATGAAAGCGCAGCATCCAGATATGACTGGAGGATAATCTAGAAATGAATTTTGGCTTGCCTCTGAAGGCGACCGACAGGCGACAAACATGTTACTAGTTGTTGATTACATTTTACTTGAGATGCAGTGATGCAAGGACATAAAACGGAGATGGAAACTTTTAAATACACATCAGGAAATAAGTTAAATATGTTTGTTTAATGACAACAAGCTGGGGATGTTGGGGATCGAGTAAGGGCTGAGCCATCTCTTCTCATTCGTCATTCTTTAATTCACGAGCCATAATGTTTACAAAACTGACTTTAATTAATGTTATTAATTACAGTTTCCCATCATAGCTGCCTTCAGTAGATCTTGAAAACATTAAATTCCAATAAGGCATCAAAATGTGACATTAACTGCAGTCCAACTGTTTGTAACAAGGCCAGACGGCACTGTTTGAAGAATTAACACTCAAAGTTTTTAAAGCTTTTAAGAACTGCAGCTTGGCACAGGTAAAACTATAAAACAGTCAATAGTTCAGTGACAGGGAAGATACACTAATCCGTATTTAATATTCAATGTACTTAAAAAAAACACAAGTTGAATATGAAGTCCTCCTGGCAAGTGAAAAAATATGTTTGGCTTTGACTTTAATCTTATAAAGTAGAGGCCTATGTTGTGCATGTTAATCCTTTTCCATAAAGAATCAAGTAAACCCAAGCTCTTTGACAAATGTTCCTGAGCACAATATTTAGCTTGCAGTGGAGTCTTAAATTGGAAACACTTGAGTGAAGCAGGAACTGATGAAATAGAGTACTTCGTAAAACAACTTTTTTTAAAACCCTTTATAGAGCATTTGAGTTAGTGAGGATACTTTTATGAGAGGGAAAGAATGTGTTATGTTCAACTTCTGTGAGTTTTGTGAATACATTTAAAAGTGAAACAAATGTAGATTTACTTTGATTTTAAAACACGTTTTTCAATGTGTTGAGAAAAAACGTATATATCTCCAAAAAAGAAATGTCAGGTTTATTGAATTATTAGTTGAAAATATTTTATTATTTTTGAAGCAGATAACCGATAAGATCCCTTTTTGACCAACAACAACTGACTTTTCTTTAGCTCAAGAACATTTTATTTGGACATGGTTTTCATTAGGGTCAAAGTTATGTTTTTATTTCACTGTTTAAAGGTTGGCAAGTTAATCCTAACCCCCAAATCAATGAAAAGAAAAGTTGAATCATCACTTTTAAAATGTTGCTGAAACATTTTATAACAGAGACTGTGGAAAATGGATTTAATCAAAATGTAATCCTTCGGCTGCTGATGAGCAACAGTCCAGTCATTTCTCAGAAAAAACTAACTTACTGACACTGGTGAGTTGTTTCACATTATTACCAACAGTGACATCTACTGGCTAAAACCAATGGCAACCGCTCTCATAACCAACCCAGCCAATATATCAGAGTTGTGTTTTCCTGTTTGAATACAGAAACTCAGTTGCTGAAGGACCATTTTATTTGTTATTTATAAAGGAAGAAAGGATGTAGCAAGTGACAGATAAAACTGCCACAGTGTTTGTTTGCTCGCTGATGGTCATTTCCTACAGATTAAAGTTCTTAACTTTTTGTATCATGACAGGATATGTTTTTCTATAATTTGTTTAATAATATTATTGTCTTTGGTGATTCTGATTGGGATTATATTATATGATAAATATACATTCCTTTCTAGTATGCAGTAAAAATATAGAAATATCAAAGGAGCGCGTAAAAAAGCAAATACCTACATTTGGTGTGAAAGAAAACAGGTAGGAGAGAAGTACAAGGTTTCTCAGAGTTTTTGCTGCCAGCCGTACCCGTTGCAAAGGAAGTGCCTTAAGGTTTTGGCAAAGTTCCCTTTACTCAACCACACTGCTGTTTCTGTGAAATCCTGCACACAGAATTATACAAAACTGCAAAAACATTTCATGAACCCAGCTCTGCATTCACAGCCAGGAAGGAAAGGCAAGACAAAGATGCTTAACCCGCAGATTTACTTGACTCACCTGCCTCTTTCGATCTTTGTTAAAATAAAGAATGCAATTATGTAAACATTGTGATCTGGTTTAATATGATATCTTACGTCAGTTCTTTTAATAAATCATGCAAGATGTTTTTATTCAGATTATTATTATACCAATGATAATTTTCCAGGCTAAATTTTTGGAGTCAAGCAAATGTAGATTATAAAAAAGTACATCCCCTGAAATAAGGCAGACAATTGAAAGACTGAAGTAAAATGCATCAAAACTGTGTTTGCGTGGAATGCTTTAGTAAATGTAGGCCTTCTTCCATCTCATAAATCAGATAACAGTTTATAAACACATACATATGGGCCAATACAGAGATCAGTATGCAGGTTGTGAATGACTTTCATCATGTACCAGCAGAGGTCATATATAATTCCTCATCCTGTCCTCTTGATCTGATTCTGTACAGATGTGATGTAACATTACAGCTGCTGCTGCTGCTGGGTTATCTCCTAATATGTCCCGGGTCAGTTTGTAAAAACTGCACTGTGTAATGAGCTGTCCGGTGAAGGTGCAGAAAGCCGATCTGAAGTCAGCTTTTAAAGGGGCTTTTTATCAGGGATGCTGCGGGAGGAGTTTCGTGCTTCCAGGAGTAGTCCTAAACTGCGCATGCGTCAAGGTGAACAGCCGATCCCAGACGCAAGGCGAGATAGTTCGGTTTGGCCATTTCCGGTTTCGGTTCTAATGACTTATGACAGAGGATGAAGTGGAGAAAAATGATAACTGCATTCAAAATTGTAATTATTTAAGAGAAGGAAATAATTAGCATATAAAATAATATAATTAAGTTATTAAATGTAAAAGTACTTATTTATTAGAGTTACCCGTTTAATTAATTAGGCCTATTTACTGGGTAATACTGTTGTGTTTTAGCATGTTAGCAGTATTTTAAAGTTGTAGCTGGTCAGTTGGTGGAAAATGCAATTATATGATTGGGCACTCATAGCAATTAATCGTATTTATAATTTAAAACATTAATATGCAAAAATAACTGGGACTCATAACTAAAGCTGTCAAAAGTAGGCTACAAAAAGTAGTAGCCTTAGGGATAGGAAGTAGCCTATGAAGTCAGCTGCAATGAAATAGAAATACTACAAAATAAAAAGAGACATTTACACTAATTCAGTCTCACACAAGGAGAAGGTAGCACATTATAAAGCTTGTGTAGTGTGACCTGGATACATTTATACCTGTTCCGCGCCGACACGGCTGAGCTGAGCAGATGCTTGAATTCTGGTGTGAACCATCTTGCTGTTTAGTTGCATGTTGTATCTTTGACGATGACGAAAGGCCTCTGCTGCTTGCGTGATTTGTAGCGTACGTGACGCAGCACCACCTCTCTCCTCTCTCCTCCCTTTGTGCAGCTGACAAGCCCCTTCTCGACCAGGACAGGAACACACAGAGAGGTACGTTGTGTTTTAATATTGAATTGCAACACACATGCATTTTAATGTACTGCTCTGTCGCTGGTATCAGCCGGCGGACTCTGACACCCTGGAGCTTTCTGTCTTATCCATTTTGTGAGCTGGGTGTAGTCGGCGTACAGCAGAGATGCTAGGCCTGCTACTGTTTGCACCCAAAGCTAGCTTGCTGGCTAATGTGTTGCGGTGCGGTCATTTGACAGAACAGGAGCCAGTTGTCAGCAGTTATTCAGGCAGCTATAATAAAAGAAGAAAAGCTATCTTACGGTTTCTTGACGATACAGGCTCACTTCTGGTCAACATGCCATGAAGTTACTCACAGGAGACACTTGCCCGCTGGCCACCTTGATAGCTAGCTAATGCTAATTTGTTAGCAGATGAGGACAGTGAGATGCTGCCTGCATAATCACTTTGTGTGAGTGTAGTGTTGTTTCTCTCTAGACAGAGACTACACTTTTTTAAAATCAACTGTAGGTTTGTGTCTCAGCTGAAATTCACTGAATTACACTTCAACTAACTAAAGTGGTGCTGAAGGGCAGTGCTGCATCCTTTCACTGAGTGGCTAGGTCAAGTGTACTTAATCATTTCAGGAGTGGTCCTCATCATGCCATGGGATTCATATATCCTTCTTATTTGTGAAAATGTTATATGAAGTTGTAGATTTATTCATAACTTAAGTCATGGAGGTTTACCCCAGGGCAACTCAATGAGTATCAAATATACAGCGTTGTCCTCTACGGCCTCTAAGGTTTCTGCCTGTAGCCATGTGTGGAAGCCATACAACTACTAGGCGCGGGGGGGGGGGGGGGAGAGATAGTGGACATGCCATCTGTGTAAGTGCTAACAGGCATTGCAGATTCCTGACATTAGTCCACTTCCAGGCCAAGTGCTTCTGTATTAGCACAGTTACTGGGGACTGATTCAGAGGGCTGTCCAGGGGGGGAGGGTTTCATTCATCCTGAATGATTTAGGGAGGCTACAGTTGGACATGCATGTGGACGGACTGACATTTGTTATGTCATAGCCAATGTCTCTGTTATTTAGGAGTTTGATATGTGGGGTCGAAGAAGCATCTGGGGTAGGGCTGCAGGATTATATTAGAATGGGCAATAGCGTAGTTGAATTTGACCATATCGATATATTGGAGAGTAGTCACTTCTGATGCTATTCTAAATACACAGGTGCACTTTATGTTTTCCTCTAATAGATCAGTGTTGACTAAATATCTTGTAAAGTCATATCTTCAGTGTCAAACCTAATTTATTTTAGTACAATTTCCGTTTTGTTCCATAATTATACTCATAATCATCTATCCAAGAGCTAATTTGATAAATTATTATTTATTTTCGTAACATTCACTTGTAAAAAAAATAACCAATAGAACATGATGACAGTGCAAGTTTGAGAGCAAATTTTCTTTCGAATCTTTCATAACTTACTCAAAGAATGTCAAATGTTGTGTCAATCCTCATGCAGCTCTAAACTGTCTCCCACACATGCAATGGGATGCAATACCTTCAATATGAGTCATATAACAATTTGAGGATAAGGGTGGGGTTGTTGAGAAAGGGGAGGGACTCCCTTTATACTGGGTTAACCTTTGGTGTACATTTAACAAAAACATTGTGTGTTCGTTTAAGACTTTTTCATTTTATTGGGTGCAAATAAAAAAACAAAAAGATTCCTCAAATTGTTTTTTGATAATGTTTACATTCAGAAACCGTTATTAAAGTACTTTTCACCTGGTAAACTTTTTAAATGACTTTATTTGCTATCAATTTGCACATGTTTGTTATCAATAGGCCTGCGTGACAACTCCGCCTTGATAACTGTTGGTGATATTGAAAAATGGAGCCTACATCTAAAACATAACAACTAAACATAATGATGAAATACACATGTTTTGCACAACTGGATATTCAGGAAGAGGAAGGACAAATAAATTCAAACATGCTGTACGTAACCATTAGCTTAGTGAAAAAAAAAATATGTGCACAGGGGAGGGGAACAAAAAACTCACTGACAAATGTAAAAGAAAATGGATATTAGCTAAGGTGGCAAAATGTGACTCCTGCAAACAAACTCACCTCTGTACTCAAAGGAATGCAATTTAGAAAGAATGTGTGTTTGAATTGCTGAGCTCCTGTGTTGTGTGTGTGTGTGTAGCTCATGTAAGCCAATAACCTTATGAGATTTGAACCTTTCATATCCATCAGTGACCTCCAGCTGCACCTGCCTTCCTCTTTCAGCAGCACTTTACTTCTGATCTGTTTCTGTCCTCTCTCTGTGCTAAAGCTGTAACACAGAGAGAAGAAAGACACGAAGGGATGACATTTCTTTAGAGAGAATGTTTTCTTGTGTTTAGTCACAGCCTTGACCATCTTGTTTGTCCCTGCAGATAATGGCTGTACCTCCCACCTACGTTGACCTTGGAAAGTCTGCCAGGGACGTTTTCACCAAGGGATACGGTGAGCACTAAGCAGCCAACCATACTCACTTATTTCAGCAACATTTACAGCAGTATCATATAAAGAAAAAATAGTTTGACACTCAATCAAGTGCTATTTTTATCTCTAAGTCATGATGGTTTTTTATCACATGGTAGCTTCTTCTTTCAAGTTTTTCACTTCAGTAAAAAGGGTTGCTGTGTTAGAATCTTTTTCTAGTTTTAGTGCTTCATCATCTTTTTTATCCTCTCTGCCATTCGTATAAATATGTATTTCTCTTTACTCAATACTCTCTCCTTCTCTCTTGTACTGTAAAGTAATCACAGAGATTTTTTTTGCAACACTTCCTCCTTCCTTAATCATTGTACAAATCCAGCTTCTGCATAATGTTAACAGCAATGCATTTGGATTCAAACCAGGCTCCCTACTGTGTATTCTGTCACTATGTTTGCAGAGCCTCACCTTGAGTGAGTGGATGTGGGGTTTGTTTTGTGTTTACACAAATGAAAGCTGTACTCCAATGGTTACTAAATGATGTCAACAGCTTTGGCATTCCCAGACTCATTCTTATGTAGCATGCAGGCTGACTTACTGCCATCTCCTTCACAGAAAGGCTTTCAAACTGAGAGCAGTTGTGAGGCTGATGAACATTTCATAGGGTAGAAACTGCAGGATGGACAGTGATGGCCGGGATGAGAAATGAATGGTACCAGCCAGGCCAGAAAGTACATGAACGTGGAGATGTTCTGGGTCATGTGAAGTATGCTCGGTGGATCTATTGATGGCTGTAATGCTGGCTACGGGCAGGCGTGGGGCTTTAGGCTGGAGCCAGGGTCTGTTCAACCAGCCTTCTAGCTGTTGTTCATAACTGACATTACTAATGTTCCAACAGAGCCACATCAAATCAATACACACGTTCCATCAGTTGCATACAAATAACTCTAAATGCACTCTGGAGGCTGTTCTCACAGAAACTAATCAATACGTTGATGTAATGTGTGTTTAAATATCAAAAGGGTTTCTTATAATGTGTATAAATACACAGAATCCAGTTTATTGCTAAGTAGGTTTTCACATGCAAGGAATCATCTTTTGGTTTTACATCCAAATATTAAGAGAAGTATAAATAGAAAGCCGCAAAAATATACAGTAGAAGATGGGTGGGATGTTTTTGCAAAAATGTTTTTTTAATAAACCTGCTCCTCTATTATTGGATGTTAAATCTGTATTGTCATCATTAAATAATAATATTTGATCTAATGTTGTCTGTTTCAGGCTTTGGGGTCATCAAGTTGGACTTGAAAACAAAGTCTGAGAATGGACTGGTAAGTCATACAGAGCGGACACTTCAGACTGCAGCTTGCTTAAGAGTCTCCGGGCCAATAATTAAGTCGCCCATCAGCTGATTTCTTAAATGTTGCAAACACATTTTGGCATTGGCTACCTGACTGATGATTTCAAAGATGCTGTGTTATCACAATCAAACATAATGTATGTCTTAGTTTACAAGTCAAATTGATTTCTTGATCTTGTAAATGCACCCCAAGGATTTGGGATCAAGTGTTTGTTCCATGATGTTGAAAGAAGTCAGTCATCAATTTATTACACTTTATTATAATGGATTTTAATGTATCGTGGCTGGCGAACCTGTGTGTATGACACCAACACTGTCCTCTGCAGGAGTTCACCAGCACAGGCTCTGCCAACACTGAGACCAGCAAGGTGGCTGGATCCCTGGAGACCAAGTACAAGTGGGCGGAGCACGGTCTGACCTTCACAGAGAAGTGGAACACCGACAACACCCTGGGGACCGAGATCACCATCGAAGACCAGGTGGGTGACCAGGATTATCTTAAATGTGATTTTTATTTGATATTGGGAGTTAAATTCACTCGACTCTTTTCATGATCTCTAGGGTCTGTCTCGCAAGTTGTGGGTGCCTTATGCCTTGTTGTATAATGGATTGTAGTTTCATCTCATGAGCAGTTTATTCCAAAGATGATTTTGACTAAACTGAACCTTTTTGCTCATCTCCACAGTTGGCCAAGGGTTTGAAGCTGACCTTTGATTCCTCCTTCTCGCCAAACACTGGGTAAGAAACACTATCAGAACCATGGAAATGAATTTCACTGAGAACACAGGAGTTCAGTGGAACAATGTCGAATATTTATTCATGCACTATTAGAGCTACAATTAATAGAAAATAATAACAAATCGCATAAAAAATATTTAGCCGTATGAGCCGTTTTTATTTTTTACAGCAAGTGATTGTCAAATTGCCTAATTTTACCGTTCTTTTGGTAATTATTTTGCTCTTTGCCAATGTGAACAGGCTGTATGTATGTGTGCATTTTTAAACTTCTATAGTCTTAGAAATATAATTTGAAAGCGAAGCGTACCTATAAATAAAAAAGATAAAAATTAGTTGCAAATAACCGTGTACCTAAAGACATTACCAAAGGGGTTATCTGATGGGCATTTCAGAACACACAGGCAGTGTTTCACTATTAGTGCAGACATAGGCTTAGAAAAACATGGATTGTGATAGGGCTGCCGTCAATCAAAGATTTTCCTTGAATAACAGTAGTTGTCAGTTCAAGCATAGCAGTCGTTTATAAAATGTTATGATTATTAATAATATTATAAATGTTTTGGCTTCACAAAAGGATTTCAGTTCCAAGGCTGAGAAAGCGTATGATGAGTAACGTCATGGTACATTGTACTACACATCAAATATAATATAAAACTGTAATAATGGTCCTTTGAAATATAAACTAAATGTTACATGTGTGTGTCAGCGCACCACAGCGATCCGCCCATCAGGCAGTTGTAACGTGAAGTTGTAACACTAACTAAACGAATGATAATTAAAAAAAGTCAAGTGAAAATAAACATTTTCGTTAATTTTTTTTAAAGAAATATAAATAACAAAAAGATAATACACGGCAAACAAAAACAATGAAAATAAAAATGAAATGATAGGGAAATATTAAATAAAATGTATCATATATTACAAATATATATGTTGAACTATGAATCCTATAGTAAAAAAAAAGTCTAAATGAATGACTATGACTTAACCACCATTTCTCTCTCCTGCCAGCAAGAAGAGTGGCAAGGTGACGACGGGCTACAAGTGCGACCACGTCAACCTCGGCTGCGACGTCAACTATGACATCAACGGGACAGCGGTCCACGGTGCAGCGGTGGTGGGGTATGAAGGATGGCTGGCCGGATACCAGATGACCTTTGAGGCCGGCAGGAACAAGATCACCCAGAGCAACTTCGCTGTCGGATTCAAGACGGACGAGTTCCAGCTGCACACGAATGTGTAAGAAAACAGAGGCAGCAGATCGTCTTTAGTTTGATAGCATACCTCCTTCCATTGATTGTACCATACAGAATACTTTTTTAATGCACTGGTAAACCAATGTGGATATACCATACTTTATTATCATCTTATATCATTTGGTGTAGTTCATGCTCATTTCAATTTGCCTTACTAAAACCACTTTTTCACACACTGTTGGCCCTCCTGCTTGCAGCTAGCACCTATGTTAACGGATCAATCCAACAGCAATGTAGTTAACATTTATAAAAACACTTGTTTTGTTGATATTGTTAGAGAATTTTTACTTTTAAGGTCCATGACGCCATCAAATGAGGTGCCAGACATGCATAGCTTTTGTTAACTAGTCCTCGCCGGGCTCGCTAACTTGTTGCTGGCTATGTGCCGGGTACCTGACTATTTTTATACCCAGGTGATGGGATTTACTATATTACATGTGAAGCAGAGTGAAAGGCTGGCAGGCAGAAAGGGCCTCAGTGAAGAGGCAGAGCGAGGTTGTGTCTGATAGTGACAGATACAGGGCACACTGTTAGTCTTGTTTCCTGCTGTGTCCAAGCCTGTTCAGTCTACAGCTGAAGTGATTATGTGGGGTCAGACAGAGTATAATGTAGGATTTACATCAGAGACGTCGAGCCCACCTCATGAGCTCTTTAACAAACATGGACAATACCAAGAAAGGAATTCTACTTTCAGAGAAAAACAAACAAACTCATAATTCATCCCTTTTTAAAGAGAAAACATCATTTTTGGGGAAACTGATTTGTGTTGCTGCAACATTTATATATATTTATATATATTTATATATATTTATTTTAATCTGCTATTCTTCCACAGAAATGATGGAACTGAGTTTGGTGGTTCCATCTACCAGAAGGTGAATGACCAGCTGGAGACAGCCGTCAACCTGGCCTGGACCGCCGGAAACAGCAACACCCGCTTTGGCATCGCTGCCAAGTATCAGATCGACTCTGATGCATCCTTCTCTGTGAGTACAGTGTAACCTGGAGTAGAAGTTGTGCTAGTGCTCGTCGTCTGCTGTAGGATAACAATGTCACTTAATCCTAATCCCATTAGAAATGGCTGTTTTATTTTACTCGTCCTTCACAAGGAATTTGCCTCGATTTAAGACATTCTGAGTCCCTACAATATAAACCCTTAATAGTCATAATGTTTCCCCCTCAAATAAGGGTCAAAATATTTGCTCAGGCTCTTCCTAGCTGACCAATTTGAAAGGATGGATTGCAAATGTAATCCCGTATGCAGCCAAGCCAATTAGTGTGAATGCTTGTTTGTGTATGTATTAAAACACCTTGTGTTAGCATAATGATGAAGCAGCAAACTTTTGAAGGTATCACTTATTATTTACAATATATATTTTTCTAAACTGCTTGCCGGATTTAGCCAGCATTGATATGATATATGTATTTGTTAGTAATATGTGTGATTTAATCTGTTTCCCACACAGGCTAAGGTGAACAACTCCAGCCTTGTGGGCCTGGGCTACACCCAGACTCTGAAGCCAGGTGAGTGCAAATTGTGTATTATTTAGGTTTAAGTTGGCTAAATGTGTTACAATACATGTTTCATCATTTACTCAATCATGACAACACTGTGTAGCAAAAAATACCACGTAAAATAAAAAATAGATTAAAATCAAAATCTGTGCATTAAAGATTTGTGTGTGGATTATTCCATGTGTAGCTGCATTTTAGACATACACAAACTACACAATGGTCAGATTAGGACTTCCTAGCAGATTTGTTGTGGCATTTCTTGATTAGCAAACTTAAAAATACTAAAGAATGTGTAATATTGCTCATATTATTTTGTTATTCTAAAAACACATCAGTTGGAAGAGTTTTGCACAATATTAAATCAAACCGAACTACACTTTCATAATGGTAAACAACAGTAACAACATTACAGTGGAGGAATAAGTAGCAATAGGTGGTTTATCCTTGTGTGTTTTTCTTTCTGCAGGCATCAAGCTAACACTCTCTGCTCTCCTTGACGGCAAGAACATCAACGCCGGTGGACACAAGCTTGGTCTCGGCCTCGAGTTCCAGGCATAGGAGGACGAGGCAGGCGACCTTGAAGTCCTCCCAGCACACACACGCGTTCCCCACCAAATAAATAAATATTTCCAAATCCTGTATTGATTACCTAGCCTTCACAAAAACCCATGTGTCCCCTAGACATTTTACAGCTGGAGGCAAAAAAAAAAGCATAAAGGTCAAATTGTTCCTATAACGATCTATCACTTTTAAAGGACCACTTAAAGGGAACAGTATATTTTGAAATAAAGAGCTGATTTCAGAACAAAACTACAACCATTTAACAGACACTTTTATCATGAATTGTGTTGTTTCCAAGGGAAAAGTAGCGTTGAGATCAGTCATGAGGACTTCAATTTGTCTTTCACTACATTCTTTCACAATGCTTTAAGTTCTGTGTCTCTGATTTCCAATGCAGATCTAATGGAAAGGGCAGTTGAGTAGCTACCCCACCTGATGGTGTCCTTGCATAGCACCATTAACACTCCTCGCTCAAAAGTTGTTGTGGTAAAATAACTGTTAAGCTTCCACACTTCTGCACTGGAGAGCTCTGATGTCTGTGTTGATATGATATAATATAAAATGGGATGGGTTAGTTGTCCTTGATGTAAGCAGCTGTGATAAGCTCTGAGATACACTACACCCCAATATGGACATTCTGTGTTTTCATCTCACTTGTTTTTTGTGTCTGTGCATTTGGTGTGAAACATGTCTGTTGTTACATATAGTAAAGAGAATATTATTTTATTGACAGTCTTGCATAGTTTATGCCACCTGTGAAGTCTTAAGAAGGCAAAGACCTGTCAATTCTTCCTGGTCAGCGAAAGGAGGGAAACCAGTTACATTTCTCTGAGGGAGGAATAAAATAATAAATACAGTGCAGGAAGTTTTAGTCTTCCACAACTGGTTATGGGAATCATGCTTAGAGAAATTGACTGTATTGTCATTCCCTGAAATAAATAAAGAACATCTTGAACTGGATTGTGTTTGTTTGTTATTTTGCATTCTGTCAAGTTATGACCAACATGATGTGATGACTCATTCCGATACCAGGTTTATTTCTATGCTTTTGGAAAAATGAACTGGCAAATATAAAAAGTGTTTTGAAACTGCAGATTACTGTTTGATAATGATATGAACTGGGATCACAAGGATTAGTTTGAATTCTTTCTACAGTGGCAACTGACACACATTATTGTTATTGATTGATAACGTCTTATATGTAAATCTTTGTAGGGCGTCAGAGGAGGAACAAGTACTTAGATCTTATAGTAAAAGTAGAAGTGCCAAAGTGTAGGAATAATTTTACAAGTACAATTCCTGCAATCAGAAGTAAACGTATCTGCTTCAAAATGTACCTACAGTTCCTAAAGTAAAATAACTCATTATGCAGATTGGCCCATTTCCGAATAATATCTTATGTTTTGATTATAATTATTGACGCAATAAAGTGTAATCAATGTTATAAAGATGCAGCTAATTTTAACTTCTGTGTATGCTGCAGGATAGCTTGGCAATGTTACTCCAGGTGTAACTAAAGTTTTATTTAAGTGTGATTATATTTCACTTCATTATTCCAAATCTGAGAGTAAAAGTACAGGATTTACATCTGAATTGTAGTGCGGGAGAAGTACAACGTAGCAAAAAATGTAAGTTCTCAAGTTAAGTACAAGTATCTCAAAACTGTACTTAGCCATGAGTAGATCTACTTGGTTACTTTACACCACTGCTGCTGATGAATATTTGATCACGGCATTAGCTGATATGAAGACTCCACGATTTAATTTAATTTAATTACTTTATAATTTCTTGACATGATCAAGGATAAACACTGAGGCCATGACAGCTGATTATAAACATTAAGAAAACAGAACAAAAAATCACTCTCTCCCTCTCTAACATCCTGCATCATGTGGCCATGCTAACTCCTCCTCCAGTTACTCACACATCAACATGGCGACGTGCAGAACGATGGGGCGAAGCAGGGGAAATATTTGTGCTCTTTCTCTGGTTATTTTCCTTCAGCTGTTAGTCAGTGGCTGCCTGTCAGCTGTGATAAAGAACAACACAGGTATGTTACACTTGTTTGAAGTACTTGATAAGATGAATGCTGTGTTTTAAAGCCAACCAACAGTGCTGCTTGTTAGCTAGCCACTGTCAACGTTACTGTAGCTAGTTCGCTAGTGCGTCATGCTAGCAACTATGGTGTCAAGTGAGAGGGACGATGACAGGCTTTCTGTATGTCCCGGAAAAGTCTTAAAGCAGTATTTTTTTTTAATTCGAGTCCCTATTAAAGTATTACAGTTCTGTTCAATAAGTATTTCGATAATAATAAGTTGTTTAAGGTTTTAAATGTGGCTCCTTCGATTGAAAATACGTTGTAACGTTCTGACGTCAATTTCAAACGGTTGAGACTTATTTATTCGTTTAAGTCGATGTGAAATGTGCATTAAGCTTTCTTATTTGGACTTAGTAATGTTTTACTAAGTTCATGAATCCTACAGATACGTTACGGCCATAACAAACAAGTCATAACCAGAAAGAGGAAGTCATGATTCAATAACCAAACTTCCAGCTCGACAACATTACAAGCAACCATTCCTACCCAGTGCTGTAAAGCAACTAATTAGATGTACTCAAGTACTGTACTTAAGAACACGTTATATTATAGGTATTTGTACTTTACCTGAGTACTTCAATTGTTTGCTACTCTGTACTTCTACTCCACTACAATTCAAGGGTAAATAGTGTACTTTTACTCCACTGCATTTATATAATATATTTATTTAGTTACTTTGCACATTTGTATACATGATGTTAAATATAATTAACACATACATCAGACTTTAGTTACACCTGGAGTAAATCCACAAGCTACCCTGCAGTATACAAAGTCATTAAAACTAGCTACATCTTTACCATCTTTGATAACACTTTAATGCATCAATAATTATAATCAAAACATATCAAATATATTATTCTGAAATGGGCCAATCTGCATTATGAGTACTTTTACTTTTGGTACTTAAAGTTTATTTTGAGGCTGATACTTGAGTAACATTACGACTTTTACTTGTAACAGATCATTCCTACACATTGGTACTTCTACTTTTACTTAAGCACAAGATCTGAGTACTTCTTCCACCCCTGATTGTAGGTAAACGTTATATGTGTGGTGCCCTGCAGGGACTCCTCTTAAGCACTTGTGATTTGTTAGTGGGTCCAGATGTCCTTGTCATATATCTGCGCTGTTAAGTAACCCCTGTCACTCCAGTACCACCACAGCTTATTAAAGACAACCCCTTTGAAGTCTACCATCAAGGAACTGGGACCATAGTAAAGGCTTTAAAATGTCTCTCAATGGCAGGCCCTGTCATGCATTAATGAACTTTGACCAGGGCTACTACTGGCTTACATTTGTTGAGATAAAATCAGTGGTGCTGAATTGCTAACCTGTGTTCTCTATTCTTTTCAAATGAAGTACTATGGATTTTTGTATGTGTTTATCCACATACACCTTAAGTATGTGATAGGCAAGTCATGCATTGATTGATAATAGATTTGTTCAGCAAGTCTTGTGATCTGACATTACTAATGGAACTATTTCCCATGAAACCTGGCATCCCTTCTTTATCTGACAGCAATATTGTTTGACAAAGGACGGATGACCATTACTTGAACAGCCACAAGCTGCTAATTACTGTTTTAGTTGAAATACAAGCAACATTTATAGTCAACGTTAACGGCTATATTCATTTTGAGCAACATCCATGTTCCAAGAGTGCAACTTTAAGCAAGACTGGAGGAAAATAACCCATTACTTGTCAATAAGAATTTTTATTTAAGGACATTTAACTTAAATATGAAGGCATTTGTCGAGTGTGACTCAAGCGGCTCAAGGCTGCCTTTCCTACATGCTCTTTCATGCAGCACGGCCTATAACTGTTCACAAAGATCTCCTGTTCAGTGATTATTTATGCTGGCTATTGCCCATGTGTATGAATAGTCCCTTTCTTCTCCTGGGAACGTCTTACCCAGTGCTTCAAGTCCTCCAGTGTTCTCCTCCCGTCCCTTCCTAAGCAACACCTCCTATTCCCACAGGATTAAATAATGTTGACACTTGTTGGTAAAACAGCGTCATTGATTCTGGAAAGCTGGCAAGATGCATGTCTCTGAGTTCAGCTCACACCTAGAAACGGTAGTTGATAGATTCTTGAAAATGAAAGTACATTATTTTTTTCTTATGAAACAAATGTTGTGTCTGCTGTTACACTGCAGTCTTAATAAACTAGTTAAACAGGTACTCCAACTACTTATGAGTTCCTGATTTTCTGAGGCAGCACAAGGGTCACTGAATAGTATCAGAACAAGCTCCTTTTCACAGCCATAGCTGCCGGTGGTGTTGGCACACGGTGCAGTTTTATGGCATTATTCATGTCTGTATTTGCAATAATTCTATTTTTAGAACTCTATGAAAGACCATGCACATACTGTTATTAATTGATTGAGAGTGTGGTTGTCAGCAAGTTTAGATTAAGTTATATTTCTTCAAATGGGTTAGAACTGAAAACTCAGATTCATTTTTGGACTCATTGGCTTAATAATTAGTTGAACTTTATAGAGACCCCGTCCTTCATTCAAAATAAATATTTATTTTACTATGCAAACTAGAGCTATAGGTTCTCAGTCTGTTCTAGTTAATGTTCTATTGCTTTTAAGGAGAATGTAACCCCCCCTCAAATAAGATAATACATGCGAGTTCATGCCTACTGTAGACAACGTTCTTGTTGCTCTGTGTTGCGTTGTTAATGAGTGAAACACACCGGAGTTGAAGATCTGTGGGGTTTATTCTCCCAAAAATATAATTTACATTTTACAATTTAGGCATTTAACAGACGCCTTATTCCAAAGTGACTTACAATGACCAATTACAGGGACATTCTCCCTGGAGTAACCGAGGGCTAAGTGCCTTACTCAAGGGCACACTAGTAGTGGTGTTCCAGGCAGGATTTGAACTCGCAACCTTCCGATCATCAGCCCACCTCACTATCCATTAGACCACCAAAAAAAAAAGAACAATAATATTTTTAATTTTTTTTTATGAGATCCATTTGTGGCGGACGATATTTAATTGTGGCGGCCCGCCACAAATAAATCAATGTATGGGAAACACTGAACTGACCTTTTTTTCTTGCATTGTTATTCCTTCGTTTCTAGCAGTAATAAGTCAAGGGATGCAGCGCGAGAACACAACACAAAATGCGTCTCCTCCAAGTAATATCACTGTGGACAAGAAAGTAAATGACACTGTGCCTTCTCCATCTCAACCGAGTGTAGTGGCTGCCAGAGAATCAAAGAAGCCTGTAACACCCACTGGCAGTGACTCCGCAGCAGCAGCAGCAGCAGCAGCAGCAGCAGCAGCAGCAGCAGCAGCGACGACTCCTAAAAACAGCTCCACAACAGCCATTGGACCAAAAGTCACGGAGAAGGAGGAAACCGCTCCAGTCACCATTATTGAAACCTCTGACAATCCTCTGCCGCCAGAACCTGTCGACCCAGTAATAGATGAAGTTGCAAAAAACTCAGTAGAAAACCAGTCAACAGACAAACCTGCTGTTGCTGAAACTACCACAACTGCTATTCCCGAAGTACCCACCACCCGTGTCACAACCCCTGAATCAGCCAATCCTGTTACGGAAAAGAAAGCTACAAAAACCGACTACAAAACCTCCATCGCTCTGAACTCGTCCACAGAGCAGGAACCTGATATAGACCTGCAGCCGACCACTGACGGAGGACCCGCACGCCACATCGATCTGGATAATTACCCCGAGGAGGAAGACGAGGACGATGACGCTACCTACAACGACGTTTATGAAAACAACAGCATGAATATGGCCAAAGAGGAGCCGGTGAGCAGGCTGCAGCCCGAGGAGATGGAGGGTGACGCGCTACAAGGGAGCAGACAGCTACAACACCGAGGACGAGGACTCCCACTTCTTCTTTCATCTGGTCATCTTGGCTTTCCTGGTGGCCATCGTCTACATCACTTATCACAACAAGAGGAAGGTGAGTGTTGACATGACAACAGCCGGCGACTCCTCTAGATGTAGAGGCCAGAAGTGATGCTGACATGCGTATTGTTACTCTTGTTACAGAGCTGATATTACTTTAGCCTTCTGTAAGTTGCAAAGGTGATATTGTACCATATACACGTTAACTATAGATATCAATTGACAGGCAGCACATTCATCATCAACTCATTTGATAGCAGCTTGTCAAATCTAAGGTTTAGCTGTTTTTTAATGTTTCAAACGTAATTGTTTTTGAAGCAGTCTTGAAGCGTGAGAGTGTTGGGACTTTGCACTGTGCACTAGACACTTTTCACAACTTATATTTGGGCATATTATAGTCTAAACACTTCATTAATTGAAAAAAAAAACCAGTAGTTTGATTAAAAAAACATCACAGTGCTTTGTTTGGAGTTTATTTATTTAAAATTGTAATGCCCTACAATCATTTCTTATTTTCCTTTCATGATAACACATTGTTTGAGCAACTGCACCACCTCACATAATAAAATAAATGCTTTTCAATGTAACAAAAACAACCAGATATCTTCAGCTGAGAAAAGTTTGATATTCTATATTATGCTGGCCTCATGTACTTAGAGTTTAACAGCTGAATTAAAGATCCTCATTATACAGCCTCTCATCCGTCCTGCTGCTTAACCAAGAAAAACCTTCACTTGATCAGCCCTACATCTATCAGATTAACTTGATTTCCTTGTTCCTTCTTTCTCCCTTTCTCCCGTTGTCAGATCTACCTCCTGGCTCAGAGCCGGCGCTGGAAGGACGGTCTGTGTTCCCGCAACACGGTGGAGTATCACCGCCTGGACCAGAACGTCAACGAGGCCATGCCGTCCCTCAAGATGACCCGGGACTACGTGTTCTGATCCAGGTTCATGAGAACAGTTTGTTGAGAGCTGCACAGAGCCAGTTGGCCTTCCTGCCTGTCCGGCCGCGATGATGAGATCCCGTTGTCATGGAGACTGAGCGATGCTTTCTGTTGCTTTACAGGCCAACTGGAGAGCACTGTGTCGTTGGGATAGATTATGTTTGTTCGGGACTTTTCTGTTGTCAGCATAGAGATATTTTCACTGTTGATCTTTTATTATTATTTGATACATTATTATTTGTAATTATTTTCTCAATTATGGCTTTTTGGGATTTACTATTTTGGTTTATTAGGTGTTTTAGGTGTTTGAGTTTTTCAGCCTTATTGTCCCCCTACACCTGTTTTTGTTTTCCTTCTTGCATACTGTCTTAATATGTTTAATACTCCCTAATAAGAGAAACGTAGGTCATAATATAAAGCTTAATTCATTAACAGTTGATTATTTACCCCAAAGATTAATTAGGGATTTCTCTATTAGCTGTTAGCTACAATATCAATCTAGGAGAAATGCATAAAACACAGTCCTTCCAAAATCTTACTGTAATAACATTACTGTAAACTATTAAGGAACAATGAAAAGAAGTTGTGTATCATGTAGAAGGAGTTTGATTATTATTTCATAAAGAAATCATACATTCACTGACATTTGCAGGTCTCCCTTGAAAAAGAGATCTATGATCTCAATAGGACCAATCTGGTTAAATAAAGGTTTGAAATGAAATGAAATGAAATTTAAAATATAGTACACATTTATTTTCAACTGTTTAACCATCAGCTGTTTCCTGTTGCACCTTTGCAAAAAAATCCATAATAGCCTTTCCCTTTTGATTTCACATTATATATGGGACGTAACATCTCTATTACATGTTGGGACATTACGCTGCACATTAGGGAGGATGACTCTTCAGGTGGGGGGGACTGTCCATCTGCTTAAGCCATTTTAATGAAGACGGATGGGGAATATTGTTAAAATGGTTAGAATGTTCTCATCTAATGAATGGGAGAAAAGCTTTTCCTTGTTCATCAATTTATATTTGACTTGTCTACGGTACCTCTTCTACTGCCCAGATTTAGCTATGCATAAACCCTCGGGCTGGCCCCCTTTGTTTTATGACTTCGGTGAAGTCTCTATAAATCATTCATGGTCTTCATTGTGGCAAAATATAACGGCCGTGTTTCCTCATGCTCAAACAGAACTTTTCCTTTTCAGTTACTTCCTGTCAGAGTACCGTTTGGTGCACTGCTATCTCTGTTCGCCAGATCTGTGTGGCTTGATGTTCACATGATTAAAAAATCACAAAAAACTAAAACAGACCATAACTTTATTTCTTATTCTTCACAGCCACATCTTTTTCTGACTGTTGCCGTCTCATGCCTTTAATTCCTTGCCATAACTGCCACATGCATCCACATTGTTGTTTTAAAGCTCTTGTCACTTTTGCCAGTTTTCAGCGGTCAGTTCATATTTACAGGTACAGAATGGTTAGAATTGTAATGCGATTTGCACTGTGCCGTTCAGTCATATGAGCTCAAACATGAGGAGGGGGGGGGAGGGGTGTCCTGCGTAAAGGAGATGCATCAACACTGCTCTTGCAATCAACAGTAGAAATGTAAAATCTCTTTTTTTGTCAATAAAGCACAAATTGTGTCCTCTCTGTCTTTAACTTTTTTTTGTCATTGTTGATTTCATGATTGACCTCTTCATGTGATTAATCTAAAACACAGATTAAAAGAGTATTTAAATCATAGAGCATTCTGTTATCTTGCTCTTTGTCCAGTACATGTCCTATTAAGTCAACAAATCACTAACTAGAGAATCACTTTGATCTCATATAATCGTAATAAGCTCAGAAGTTGTGTACTCTTTTTTTACTCTGACAATAACAGACCAAGATCATATGTATGACGTATGGTTGCTATGATACACAGTATGTATTCATAGGCTTAAAGCTGAGAGGGTGTTCTAATATAGGAAAATCTACATTTAGCACAAATTGAAGTGTATTTGATCTGCATGAGGTTATAAAATCTACATAACATTTATTTTATATCTTTAAAAAATAAAGTAAATAAAAAGCAGTTACTAAAGCCCTACTATATATACACGATAAGAATACAACATTTTAAATTATAGCTTTCCCCTGATTTTACTAGTGGGAAAACGCACTATACTAATGGTTGTATTCCAGTGTTCCTGTGAGAGGGGAAGTGACCCAGCATGCAGAATACCAGGAAACAAAGCAACTAAAAGGAATCATTAATTTCATTATTTCTTGTTCTTTCGTTATCAAAATGTCCTCTGTGAAAAGGCTTAGAGCTGTATCAGGGTGGCTTAAAGGAATAATAAGTAACTTTGCCACAAGGAGGCAGTACACACACACAAATATCTGATCTGAAAAACCTGTAATGTATTTCATGGTCACATTTTCTACTGTGTCTTTTAACCCAGTAAAAGATGGTGGTGTGTTACCTTGCACTGTGTAAGAGACAACAAAGCGAGTGTGTATGTGTGTGTATCTAACTATACATCAACATTTTTACCTGAGCAAATAAGAATGTAATTTTGCATTTAGTTTTCCGCTATATTCCCTCTCTGTGTGTGACATCCACACGTCAGCATAATAAAGGGGATTTGAGCTGAAAAACCCTCAACACTTTTACGCTTTTTTTTAAAGGTGTGTGATGGTAGCCATAATATGTGCCAAGACAACCCAGAATCCCTCAGTAACACCAAAGGGAGAACACATGAGCCAGTGTGTGAATCTTTAATGTCACACAACACTACTGGGATGGATTTTAAGGACAGCAAAAAAGTTTATTTCGGAATCTCTGCCTTTAAAGTTTGTAAACGGAGTGACGAGACAGATGGAAGCAGAGAGAGAGAGACAGAGACAGAGCCAGTTTGACATGTTTGACTAGCCTATTGTCTATTATCCTCTGTGACAGGCCGTACTATAAACCGCAGCGGGACAGAATTCAACAAGTTCAAACTTACTTTATTATCATTAACTTTTGTTAAAATGAATCTTTATACTGGTTCTTAAAAGTATTTTTCCACAAACAATGTTATCTCCCAGAAGTCATTCTGTCAAAGAACATTTTTTCAAAGGCGTGATAATCTTATTTTGAAATTACATTATTTAAAAGGGAATAAAGCAAGGGAATATTTCAAAAGGATCCAATATATGATTCCTACAGAGCCTGCTTTTGCAATAATATTTGGCAGAAAATTAAATAAAAATATAAGTGTATTATTCATTTTAAAAACAAAACAAATCCTTCATTCTTTTGCAGCTAGAAAAATGATGATGTTGTGTGAAAACTGCACTGAACAATTAGACTTATTTCTTTTATTATCTTGGTATGAAGACATGAACTGAAATCGGTTGTGCACATGATTTTGAAATGGCATCTCTATTTTCTGTAGGTTTAATATGAATGTGGGTGAAAGATTTGACCTTTTCTGTGTCAAAACATGCTTTTTTTCAAGTCACTAACTCCATTTATCTACCATGTTTCAGATTGAAGAGCAAGAGGTGATGTCTGCTTGGTGCGTGTCATCAGCAGATAAGATAATCACGCTGTGTTGATATTTGTACAAAGTTATGCCAGGCGAATCTATCTGAGAGACAGCAGCAAATGAAATCTACCAGCTGGAAACTACTTTTGATCAGTGAAGGGTGAAAGTCTTGACAATAGTTTTTTGGTAGCTTTTAAAAAAGGTTTTCTTTAACTTTCATAAAACATTTCTCAAGGGATCAACATCCTTTAGTAGAGGTTTAGGGCATCTTAATGTATAATCTCTCTCAAAATGTGCGGAAATAGGCTGTAATGAAATCAGAAAAGCTCGAAAATTGTCTAAAATAAACCAAAATGACACCCATGCACTCTTCATCCATATGATAATTGATGGCCTTTAAAATAAAAAGACAGAAAACAACACATTTTTGATTTGTGCTTCAATTATTATTATGTTCTTGTCTAATGTGGAGGAGATAGTTAAATAAAGATTAATCCCGAAAATCATTCCAAATGACTGGGTGCTACAACACCTCAGCCTTTGATTGGACATATAGTAGCAAAGATATCTTGCTTTATTATGACATTAATGCTCACAATTTATAACTATTGTTACAGCTTTATTGTCTGAATGTTTTTTCTCCAGCAAAAGACAGATCAATAACATCTTCCCATGGAAACCAGGCAAACGCTGGCATTGCAATCAAACAACCTTGAAACCGCCAGATTTATGGCAATAATTCCCACAGCTGGAATACATTTTTGAACAATCGGATCGCTTGTGTAAAACTATCAATCAAGGGCAATCCTGATGGATATTGCCCTTCCTGCCGTCTCTGTAATCATTTCTGTATTTTCAGCATCTGCTGGATTAGGTCTACTCGCTTTTTCAAAAACCCAATTCCAGCAGGTATGCTTTTTACAGAGACGTCAATATATTGAGTTTCAATAAACCTGAAGGTAAGGCAGATAAAATAGTTGATCAAAGCACATGAGGTAGTGATCGGGTCATGTGGCCTGGCATATTAGCTTCCTCATCAGTGGGAGAGATCAACTGGAGGACTCACACTGACAAGTCCGGCTCCATTAAAGGTTTTGGTAATTTTGGACTTCAACCCTCAGCAGATACTGTGTATGTGTCTGGTTTTTTAAGATACTCGTGGGTACTAAAAAGGTAGCATTCAAAGTAATGGACATACAAAGTCAATTCAGCAACTGGAAACCAATACAAAGGTTCATTGTAATTGTTCTCACATATGGTGCTCTTACAAAATAACTTTTATGGTGCAAAAGGAAGAAGTATAATAATTGCGTTCATGGGGACTCAAAGTAAATGAGTATTTTCACATCAACCTGATAACTTTCATTTAAGGCCTTTCAGAAAAGAATAAAATAGAATATGTTCATTCTAAATAGCCATGGGATTATTTTGCCTGTGCAGAAAGAACATCACTTTCTCATCATTATGATGAAGAATGTCGATTCCCTTAAAAATCATTTAAATGATAACCTTCTTGAGCGTTGAAAAGATTCTGGCTATTTCATTAAAATAGGATGGCTGTTGAATGGAAGGTTTGTTCAATATATCGAGTGCAAAAATCATAGGAGAGAGTTCCGGCACATTTTCACATTATGTGCAGTTGATAAATGACAGGATAGGATGAAACTCCAACATTAAGTGTACACCACATCTCCTAACAAAGTGTGTCTTATACTGCACTTTTTACCAATTAGGTTTTTTCGGGGCATCACCTAGACTGTCAATCATGTACAGAACACTCCCCTCCAAAGTTTATAAAGCCCCGCCCCTCAGGCCTGTCACTTCCTTGTTTCCCTCCAAACACTGAAGGCAGAACAAGAAGAGAAAACATGTGAGTTTAACAATGGATTTTTCACCTAAGTACTTTATCTGATTGTTTTGTTTACCTAGTTCTAGTTTTATGTTGTGAAGAAAAAGGGTGAAATTACATATTGTGGATGCATCACTATTAAAAGTAAAGAAATATGATTATCTGTTGATATAAATCTATAATATGTTCTTAATAATCTGTTGTATAGAAAATATCATCCACATTTCCATCCACCTCCAACTGTTTTGATCACTTTTGTGCAATGAACTCGTCTTTGGGTTTTCTAGATCCAGTGTTTGAATGTGCACACATGGGATGTAAAGCCATTTTCAGCTAAAGGCTTTCCACTATACCTATATCCTCTTGGGATGTCTCAATACCTTATAAATGGCAGGATGAAAAGTAGTAAATCCAGAGCAGAGTATTTTCTTGGTGGCACAGAGAGTGCAAACACAGCATGAGGTTAACAATGGGATTTTAGGCCACAGACCTTTTGGTAAAGGCAAAACAACAGAGGCTTTAGGATTTTCTTTCTTGGATGAACTGGGATTCTTTCAAGCTTTCACACAATTGGAAGCATTTCAGGCTGCACTTCATGGACAATACAAACTAGTGACTTTGTCGTTCTTCACCTTTGTGAACCAGAGGAGTGCCTGGGTTACTTTTCCAGCTTTCTTTGTGTTTAATTTCGTGTGTGTGTGTGTGTGTGTGTGTGTGTGTGTGTGTGTGTGTGTGTGTGTGTGTGTGTGTGTGTGTGTGTGTGTGTGTGTGTGTGTGTGTGTGTGTGTGTGTTTCATGGCCCAGAGTCTCCCAGGAACTGCACATCATGTCCACAGTCCAGGCTTTATGTTTTCTCCATCCTGTTTTATCTCTCAGAGTTTTGTGTGTTGACAAAGCTTAACCGCCCTCATTCTTTATCTTCTGCTTGGCTGGCATTAAGAGTGTAGCCTCTTTCTTTTCACTCTCGGCTCAGTAGAAAGATACAGGGGCCATCATATTTATGGCTTGGAGAGGGGAGAGGCACAGAAATGACCTGAGGCGACCACAAAAGATGGACCGAGCTGTTTAGATTAGATGGAGGTATTTAATAAGAAAATGTAGTGTGCTGCACATATAGCACAGTACTATGAGAGGGAAGAGAAAATGCTTCAATATGTATAGTTTATATAATATCTGTGAATTCACCATGTTTCCTTTTGTCTTTATGCGTCCGTCCTTCAAGAGTCCCCTCTATTTATGACTTGTTGCTGCAAATGGAAAGGTTGTGCGTTGGCAGCCCCAAGTGGCAATTTGAC